GGTGACGCTGTGCGTGCGTGTGTGTGTGTGTGTGTGTGTGTGTGTGTGTGTGAATGCATATTGTACATTATTTCACTTTCATTAAAAATAAAACGAAAATTTCAGTGTCAGACAAATAGTTGACAATTCAATAATGCGATACTCGAAATTTGCCATATACAAATTATAATAGCAATTGCTCTAAATGTAACTTGAGCTAAGCTCAGCAATAATAATTAAAAGCAATTGCAAACTGTTGGCGATGTTTGCCAAATTTACACTCATCGTCCCATTTCCCCTGGGCAAGTTGTTCGCATTTTGTTGTTGTCCAGAATTTTTGCAGTCATTAATTTACAAACATTTGCACATGTTATAACGATATGTGTACAAGCATCTATGATAATTATGGTGATGGTGATGATGATGATGGTGATGATGGTGATGATGATGCGTCGATACTTTGACCGACGCACACAGCCAGACAGACAGACGGACTGACCATAAAAATTGTAGAACACCACACAGCAGATAAATGTGGACGTCGTCTGTGACTACCACACGGTGATTTCATCATCATATTTAATTTTTACCCCATTTATTGCTAAGCTTTTTTTTCGCATTGTTCAAGATGTGCAAAGAGAGTATATTGGTTCGGTGTAATGTGCGTGGGAAGCCGCGATGAGCTAAATATTACAAAATTGATACATAGATACGTAGATAAGATGAGGTATATATGTAGGTATAGTAGTTACATAGATATGTATATGAATGGATAGATATATGATATACAAAGTTTACAAATGTACAGATTTATGTGCATATTAATTTATATGAAATAGAAATAAGGATTCATATCAGGGACCGTAACGATTATAATTTTTATAGCAAAAAATTAAAAAATAATTATTCTTTTTTTTGATAAATAAAAAAAAAATTAATTTCATATGAAATAGATATATAGATGCATAGATAGTAGGTATATGGGTATATAAAATATATAGATGTGTGCATATATATAGATATAGTAGATGAGATGAGGTATATATGTAGGTATAGTAGTTATATAGATATATGTATGTATAAATATATAAAGATTGTTGATGTATAGATTTATGTGCATATTAATTTATATAAAATAGATATAGAGATGCATATATAATATCTATTACCTTTTAGGCATATATGTAGATCATCTGCAGATGTATGCATGTATGGCATATATATATATATAGTATATCCCCTTCTTTAGTTTTTTTTTTATACCCTGAACCCATTGAAAATGGGAAATCAGGGTATAATGGTTTTGTGAAAAAGTATGTAACGGGCAGAAGGAGGCGTGGCAGAC